CAGTATTCACCTTTTTTTCTTGAAAACCCTAATAGTTTCTGTCGAATGAAAAACAGGCAATTGCACAGGGATGAGAACGTGCTATTTGCTGGCTATAAGTTGCCGCACCCTCTTCAGTACAAGATACTTTTAAGGGTTTGTATTTATCGTTTCATATTTTCCCGTTCCTCATCTTCTTAATTCAGGCAATGTTTTAATCATAGTATGTCCTAAATCCTAATCGAGCAAAACAATTTACACAAATTTCCTAGTGTTCTAATATATTCACATTTCGGTTTGCGTTGGTTTTGATGTGTTTGATTATTTAATTAATTTGCAGATACACACTACAAGCCAGTCTTCGCCTATGCAGGCATACAATCAGGCTATCAATGATTTGGACAAGGAATTGGATCATCTCAAGAATGAATTCGAGGTAAAATGCTCTTTTTACACTGTTGTTGTTCGACTCTATTTATTGAGGGGATGAATTCCAAATAGAGGGCTATTTTAGTAAATTCAACTAATTCGTTCTATAGTTATTTGATATTTTCCCGGGTTGTTGTATTTTGAGCTGTAAAGTCTTGGTGTATAATAATGTAGAAAAGTTGGTCAGTGACTGCAACATCATCAAATGCTATACGTTTATTAATCTAATTCCTCAGTTACAATGTGCAAATTGTTTTCCTTATTTGGCATGTAATGCTGCTCTCGTGTAAATTTAGATAGAATCTGCCACGTAATGTTCTGGAAACTCTCGGGCTTAAAAGTAGCTGTAAAAGTATTGCAGAACAAGATAAAGCCTAGCAGAAATACCAAAAACTTGCAGCTCTTTCAGTTTGTCTAAGTTTAATGTATGTTCTGGATAATGTGTTATGCTTTATACATAATAATATAGGGCAAATTACGGCCACCCCTCTGAGGTAAGGTCAAATTACGAAAAAACCGTTCCTGTTTGGGTAATTACAACCACCCTCCTCAACTATGTATTTTCTTACGAAAACCCCCCTCATTTAGTAGGTCGTAAGGGGGGGACGTGTAAGACAATAAATAGTTGAGGGGTTGTAATTACCCAAAGAAGGGAGTTTTTCGTAATCTGGCCTTACTTCAGGGGGTTGACCATTGTTTGCCCTAATATTACATATATACTATCTATATGTCATTCTACATATTTTTCAAGGACTTTGTAGGATATAGTCTCAGTGTTGTATGGACAGTTTCACCGAATACAACCCTTCTTCATAGTTACGAACTTAGCTTCATATTTCATTACATATAATACTGTTTATTATGTTCGATATATTTGCTATAAATATTGTCTGTTTGAAATGTTTCACAGGTGGCATTGGCGAGGCACACCGGAAAACAGCAAACGCATGAGTATTAAGCTGCATGTCTGTTGCTACTTGTAGTAAATTGTATGTACCTGCGGTTTGTGATAGATCGATGGAACTTTGTTTATCGTAAACGTTGATTAGGTGGAAGATGTATGCATGTTTATTCCTTTATCAAATCAGGATATATCTGGTAAGCCAAATGTATGGATCAATTCAGAAGATGAACATGCAAGCCCCTCAATTTTTAAATTAAAGCACTAAAACCTGAGTTTTTTCGTAAAATTTAATGCACTAGTACGGTAATACCCTTAAGTTCGTTGTATTGATTTCTTTTTGTGTGTAGTTATTCGTAGGTTAAAATAGTGGGATTGTATAACTTCTAAATTTGCATTAAAATTCAATTTAATTTTAGTGAGATTGTGTGTGTGTGTTTAAACAATGAATCGTACAATAGATATTAGTTATTGGGAAAATTAGAGAAAAACTCCTACCTAGGAAACATAGTTAAGGAAACACCCCTCCAATAAATAATTAGAGAAAACCCCCTTAACTAATATTAAACACGGCCATGGACCGGTCCGGGCCGGTTCACTCCGGTTCGCGGTTCACTTTTTCTGGAACCGGAACCGGCCCGTACTACGAACAGTTCGGTGGGCCGGGTCGGCCCGCCGGTTCACTCCGGTTCCGGGCTATCCGGGCCGTT